TGTGAAGAGAGTTAATTGTCCCACTTAGAGAAAAATTGTCATTGGAGCAGGGTATGCTTTAGGGCAGTCTACTTGTGATGGTACCTCAGTGACCAATCAGCTGGATGATACAGACCAAGCAGTTAATATAAACCATCTCAACTATATATGTTCCTTTCTGGTGTCATAAGCAAAAATGCTGAGCTTCAGGCTCCATTAAAGGGGGTTCAATATCAAAGGGCCGACATCATGATGATGCCATCTCAACTTCTTTAACACACTCTGTGATTAAAAACTTTTTTAAAGGTAGAATGTACAACTTTTTGATCCAGTAGATCAAAATCGCCCTTGAGCACCAGCATGAAACCAAAACAAACTGCTGTTTGATGGCACCTCCGCTGTTCTGAAGCCTCCGCTCTCCTCCAGCGACACACCTCCAACCCCCCCCTCCAATCGCATTCACACAAAGGAGTTATTAATTAGAACGCACCATAATTAAGCACCATTAAGCGCAAGCGGCGGACAAATTTGTCCTTTGCTTGAGCTGCAATCACCTATGCTCTGCATTGTTGTGTTAGCATGCTAATGTTAGCACACTTTGTTAGCTCGTAGCTTCATATTGTACATAAATTGACACAGATTGACCGAGATCTAAAAACACTTACGTGACATCCAAATAAGCAATAAGCAAATGAGTATGTTCTTCTTTTCACTAGTCCTTGACTAAAACATACTACTCAACATGATGTAAACACGGCTCTGACAACAGTACAGCTGGCGGGACTCAGGCTTCTTACTCATTGTAGACAGTCATGACTCTGAGACATTTACACAGGATAGACTTGATTTCTTCTGTATTTATGTGTAAAATGTTGCACATTCTTCTTTTAATATTTACTCTATTTAATCAGGGTCAAAATAAAATATGCAGTCTCCCTATAGGACTGTTTTCATGCATGCAGAAGAACAGCTGATCTGTTATTCCATGTGATTGTGACCCAGATGACACTGCGATGGTTGACTACGTCTTGAAAAGCTTCCTTCTAAACTATATCTACGAAAAAAAGGCTGTAGCTGACATATTTACAGTCTCAGCTGGCTGAGTGCTGAGCCTTCATCTCTGTGGAAATGTCTGTGAGATCAGATTTTTGACTGCAGCTATCATCTGCTCAACATCCTTTAGGCGGGCAGCGCTGACCAGGAAAGAATCCTCCTGATGGGTTTCTCCTCACATCGATAATCCAGCTCACAAATCTTTGCTTCCACACTAAAAGGGCCCAAACCACTTTGAAGTTTTTGCACAGAAATATAGAATCCCATTTTTGTAATATGCTCCTCCATTCGTCCATCGTTACTCAATTACTCCATTCAAATCAGTGATACAAGATTTTATTTTTTAAAGTACATTTATGTCCTATATTTTGCACTCATACGGTTTCTCTAGAATTTTAATTAGCTAACCTTTTATGTGAGAGAAACTGCATGTCATATAAAAGCAGCTGGAATAACTCCTTTGAGTAAAACAAGTCTCTTGATCAGTCCAGCCTGTCCCACTATAATTCAGATTATTTAAATGTCTCTATTGTCATGTAGTTATTTTTGTTTTGGGGGTATGTATTTCATTCATTTTAATTTGGTTCTTCCTGGACTTGTTAGGGAAATGTGGCTGACATGATGTAATGAGATATTTTTGGGTAGAAATGACACAAATACACTTTGTAAGATTTGAGTTTTTGCAGTGAGTCAAACAGTTTCTAATCCAGCTGTCAAAGCAACAATAGGAATTCAATTTGGTCTGCTTTGGCGCCCACCAAAGGTCTCTAAGTGCAACTGCAATGTTGTAAGTCACAGAGTACCCTTGTCTTCCTCTTGGCCTCAGCCATTGTATCAAACAGTATCGAGACGGGCTAACTGGCTATATGGCAGTACAGCAGTACGGACTTCTCTCCAGCCACGGCCCGCTGTCAAACTTATATAGTGCTTTAAACAGGAGACTGTGGAGATCTGTGGACATGAGAGAGACTCTATTCTACCTGTTGAAAGTTGTTTTTTTCACTTCATTTATTTATCTAATTAGGACAGTGCACATTAATCAACATGTCAACAAAATAGTATCCTTGTTAATATGCCAGAATTAGCACAAAAGCTAAATTTCATCCGTAATCCTAAAGCAGGTCCTAAAAAAAACAAAAACAAAACATAAAACAAATGTACAATTACAGGACAGTTTGAACAGAACGACACACACAAAAAGCTCACAGACAATTTTACAAACAAATAAGTTTGTAGTTGTCAGTTGTTATCCTATTAGATCAACTATTTAAAGAGGCTGGGCGAACGTGAGGAAGCTACAGAGGAAACACGTAGTTCTCTCATAATAAAAATATAGTAAAGTTATTCTCAGTGAGCCACAGACTTTGGACGCATGGCTGAAGGTTGTGGCGACAATGCACAAATTCCTATAATGAGGAACGACCCGCCCAAATTCCTCCCCCCATACTTCTTAAATATATATATATATATATATATATAAATAAAAACACATCAAATCCAGTATAAATGTTTTAGGAGTGCTGGTTTCATCAAGTAAAGGACATACATAGTGCATGTGACTGTAATGGATGGTGGCTTGTTCCTGCCAAACACACACACAGCCACACACACACCCTCGCTCTGCGATGCCCTTACAGGCTTCACTCTGTGTTTTTCTAGCAAATGGGATCAGCTTGCAGACCGGCTCTAAACTCTCGACCTCTGCCTCTTTTTCTCTGTTACCGTATTTATTAATTTAGCTTGACCTTGTTTTTCTTCCTCCTCCCCCTTTTTTTTTTTTACCTCCTTTGAAGAGTAGAGTAGAGAGCATCGGGATGCTCGGGTCCCAGTAGAGGCCGGGTCGTCCTGGTCGACTGGCCTCCTGTCCTACTGAAGGCAGAGACATGAGGCTTTCTCTGCACTGTCGGCCTTTTCTCTGCTTCTCTGCTGCTTTCATGTGAGGGGGAGGAGGAGGAGGAGGAGGGAGTGGGGAGGAGAGATAAGAGGAGGCAGGAGAAGAGAAGAACCAAGATATCATGAAAGAAGATATGAAGAGTAAAGAGGGGAGAAGAAAGGAGAGGCTTGGAGGGGAGAGGAGGAGAGAAGTGCACACATAGAAGGAGACGACAAGGTGGAGAAACTAAGATAGGAGAGGAAGAGGAGGAAAGGAAAAAAAAGGAGGAAAGAGAGGGAAGGGTAGGACACAAGAAAAGGAGAGGAGAAGAAGATAGTGTGTGTGTGTATGTGAGATGGGGCGGTTAAAGCGCAAGGAGAGATGATATGAAAAAGAAGTGGACGAGATGGCATATAGTGGCAAAGGAGTAAGAGAAGGTGAGGAGGAAGTGTTAGGAGATAAAAAAAGGGAATGAGAAGCAGAAAACCAAAAACTCTTCATGTCATTTCTTACTCATCATTTCTGCATCGGTCAGTCTCAATGTTAAGAGTGCATCTTTTTACAGACGGATCAAAAACAGAAATAGAGCCATGAAGTGTAAAGTGTGTTACATTCTCACGATATTTATGTCCTAAAAACTGATTTTTAATAGAAGTGATGTATTGCCTTCAACCTTCAGGAGGCCTGAGAGTCCCTGAGTGTTTGGACGACCCACTGAGCTGTCAGCTGACACACAGCAGTGTGATGCTGAAAGCTCCTGTGAGTGTGTGTGAGTGTGTGTGAGTGTGTGTGTGTGTTAAAGCTGGAGCTGTATGATGTCCACATGTTGCTCCTTTTCATTTCTAATAGTGTTCCTTGTTTTGTGTAATTTAGTGTTAGAGGAGATCATTCTCAACAGTGTTGCAGTGCTGCATTTAGTATCTGTATTGATGTTGATTTGTTTTTTAAATTTCTGGTCCAACACAGTTTTATATTTTGCCTCACGTCTTGGCCAAAAAGTTGCACTAGAACACACGGCAAAGACTACAGCCGACGGCCAACCACCATGTACGTTCTGCGCATGCATGAGAGGAAATAACTCTCCATGCCAGCAGGGGGCGGTAGTCCGTTGTTATGATAGGAGAAGACCAATTTTCACACCGCTGTCAGTCACCAGTCATATCATAGGTAGCCTACTAATGGAGAATAATGTCTGATAAATAGCAGAAAATGGCGCTGGGCGTTGTCAGCTCTTGGTCTTTTAGTGGAAAAAGAAAAGAAGAGGCGGAGGAGACAAATCAGGAGAAACCGCACTAATGGGTGAAAGCATGGAGACTACAGCGGCATGCTCAAGGGGCTTTCATGAACCTGTGTCGAGAGCTGGAGATAAATGAAACCTCCAAATAGCCAATCAGAGATTCCTCTTATCGACCACCGATTCAACATGTTGAACAACGATAAAAGACCGTAAGGGGCCGATGGAGCCGGGCACATCGCTCACTGACGGTCCAACTAGGACCAACGGCCGATGAGCTCCTTGGTGTGTCAGAGCCTTCACACTGAACAAAACATATTTCTGCTCTAAAAAAAACTCCACCGGGAACTTTTTACATCTTTGTTAGGCTCTTATTGTGATCCAAAACACCTCCTAGTATAGACCATAGGATTCAAAATGTTCTAAAGAGATAATTGTGTTTTGAATGAATGAATCAACTTCTTGCTGAAAGGGAGACAAAGATGGAGGGAGGGATTTGTTATCTGGTTTGTGGCTGAATCTGTTTACCAGCTGAATTCAGCCTTTAGTGTACTTGATTATTGTTCTGCAGCAACAACACATTCCTTCCAGGTACAATCAAAGTTTAATCATTTTCATTTATTTTTCAGAATTTCATGTCTTATGAACACGGTTCCTTTTGTGAATATTTATTTTTAAAGGTTCTCTTTAGCTTTCTTGTTGACGCTATCTTTTGTTTCTTTGAGTAGGAACTCTGCAACTAACAAGCAAATGACACGGCTACATATTGAAGCCATGAACTGCAGAGCTGTTACTGTGATTATTGTTATTAATCATTTTGTTGAAAGTGTATAACATTTGTATATTTGTGTCTCTCCTCAGTGGTGGTGTTGTACTTGCAAGGCCTGGGCACCAAGGAGTGGAGAGAGGTGAGTGAAACGTCCTAAAATCCTAAATTCAGATTACATTATTGTTTTGCTTTATTTGTTTATCTCAAAATGAAAAGTGATGACTGTGCTGAGCAGAAGGTTTATGTTTTGCCTGAAGAGCAGTTGGCAACTGACAACTAAATGTGGTTTTACTGATGCTCTTACTAAGGAAGGCTACCTTAGAGTATACATGGCTTAATACAACTGTTAATGCACAACACAATTTGCATTAACACAAAATAAAAGCCCAAAACGTTAAGTGTGTGTTGGTAGCATTTAAAAAAAAAAGAAGAATCTTACAATTTGAAATAGCCATGCAGTCACTTTAAAGGTACAACATGTAGAATTGTATTACAATGTTTAAATCAAAATACGTAAATTAATACAAAATTGACTAAACCTCTGTTTAATTTTCTGTAATATCACGATACGATATTATCATGATACTTGAGTGACGATACGATATTATTGCGATTTTAAACATTTTGCGATCTGCTGAGAATAGCGATACAATATATTGTGATTTATCTTCTTTACTTGCATATTTTGTCCACAGAAATTAAACTAAATCAAGAACTACTCAGTCTCAGTCCATTCATCTCACTTGAAGTCCTCGAGCGCACAGACTGACCAACACTGTGATAAAACTAAAACCCTGTAAAAAAATTTTTTCTAAAATATTGATACTAAAAAAATTTTCCCCAACCTCTACCTCGGTTTTTTTGTTGTTGTTGTTGAGAACTTACATTAGCTCAAATATTTCTAACAGTTATCAGAGCCAGAGAAATCTGTAATTTTATAGTTTTAATGGGACGTGTCTTTGTCGTGGCAGCCGCCATGACAGACACGACATGTTTATCGTTGCCGTGGAAACACAGGATGTTACATCAAAGACCGCTGCATAAGGAAGCGTGAGCTGCTGCTGAAAGCTGCCGTACTGTCGCTGTAGGTGCTGCTGTGATGGGTTGGCAGAGAGAATCACTCCCATGATTTATGTCTCTCTTTTGTTGTTGTTTGGATTGAGAGCCCCCTGGTGGAATAATTGACATACTGTGCGTTGGTCTGTAAATTGGTCAGTACTGTAGCAGCGTCTATTGTTTTTCTGGCACCATGAGCCTCTTTGTCACTTGTGTTCATTTGTTGGTATTCTAACTAAAATCTAAAGTTATTCCCTTTGTAACTGAAAAGCAGCAAGTGTCTGCAAAATGCCATTTTCTTTATTTTTCTGTATCCAAAACAGTTTACAGATTCAATACCAAATCACACTGTGCTGCAAGTGCTGCAAGTATATAGCCTTTAATAAGAACACTGCCATTATTATCAGGACTACCCTTCGAGCGGTATTGAACATGAATGAATGATCTTCCACCTCACCGATCTTTAAAGCTGCACCAATTAATGAATGTTTTAAGTAGAGATCAATGTGCTTCTTGTTATGTGGTGACAGTCCCATTAAACATCAGCTGATCTCACCTCAGCACTAAGGAGCCTGTAGGTCTCTTAAAGATCTGTTCTCAGCTTTAAACGCTGGTGAGAAAGCTCTTAACAGATCATACATGTTCTCTTACCTACAAAGTCCGAGGGCTTCGGGCGACTTCTTGTTCAGGTGATCTTCTGAAAATCTTTTGCTTATTTTTTGGCATTAAGGGAGTAATATGTAAGATATCTACTAAAATAAATCATAAAATGACCTTACTATATGATCACACATTTAGGAAACATGCTATGTTGAAGTGCTTGCTCGGTCTTCTGACAACAATGCAGCAGCCAGTATGTCCTCCTTCTAACTTTAGATTCTGGTCCTGAATGCTCTGGATTTGTTTGGACCAGAGAAGGTAGGCAATTTAAAAGCACCTTGACACAGCCGTTTTGGACGCCCCTCGGTTTGCAAACCAACAGGTGTTGCAGCGATGGTCAAGAGAAGTGGTTCAGATAGAAGAGATTGTACCCGACCTAAAAAGCCTCTGCATGTTTCTAATAAGCTCCACGAGCGGATCAATATCGGAGATGCTTTTGAAAAATGGAGAGAGGTTAGAACACAGAAAGCTTTACAGACCCATGCAGAGCTGGATAAACACTGAAGCTTCAGTGTCCAACACATGGCAACCTTCATGCACATCGACTCTAAGGAGGAGGGGGCGGGGGGAGACAGCTCTCGCTGATGTTTTGAATTTGGACTGCAGTACCCATTTTAAACACTAGGTGTCAGAGGTTCTTGTTGCTTCTTTAAATTGTGGTATACACACTAAGACATTTCACACACATTTCAAGAATAAAAACAAATAGCTCCTGGGGGACACCCTGTTATCAGACTCCCTGTGATGCTTATAATAAGGATAAATTAGTATAATTTATTCTGTAACCATACCTGACACACACATTCAGAACTATACTTTTCGTCAAAAGAAATTGATGTTCCAGCGGTGCCTGCTGTGTGAAATTCACCACCATCCACCAATCAATACTTACATGGAGGTATACACTCCATTCAATTCAGATTGTGTTTGTTCAGCTGGGATTGAATTCTGATTGGCTATAGGCCTAATGCAACACCTCTGCTGCAGGCTCCATCCATCCATCCATATCTCTCTCTCTCTCTCTCTCTGCTTCTTCCGGGCTTGGTGGCAGCAGGCTTAGCTAGTTAGTCCAGACCACCTTTTCCCCAGCAGCATGTTCCAGCTCCTCTTTGGGGAATTCTTTGGTATTCCCATTCCAGATGATATATGTCAGCCCTCCAGGGGGTTCTCCTTCTATCCTTCTACCACTTGATGACAAGATCCAAGATGTTACCCAGGAGGCAATCTTACCAGTGTCCTGAACTCTACTTGCTTATAAGCTCCCTCTAGATGTCAGAATTTCTGTTTCACTCTCTAGGAACCTATTGCCAAACTGCAAAGGAATCTTAATTGGCACCCAGAACCAAAAGCTTCCCTTCTCAACCTCTTGTGATTTTGCCCCGGTGGCTTTGTGCTCATCTTATCCCTTTCGGGCAGAAGTGTTGAGACTCCGACAAAGTCTCTTGTTCCAACCTGCCCAGAGAAGACCTTCATGTCCCATACGCCTTCCCTAAACTTTACGACAAGTCTGCATACTTTGTCAAGTTTCTTCCATTGAAAACTGAGCTTAACCAGCAGAACTGCCATTAAGTATAAATCTGTTCTCTTAATGTGCCGTCTGAGTTGGAGGATAGAAGACACAAAGCTTTGAAAAAGGCACAGTCATTCAACAAAATGGCAACAGCTCTTCACAAAAACAAGGTTGTAATCAAAGGTAAAAGCATCCCGAGGCACATTTATTTGAACCCAAACAAAGTGAAATCTAAAAATCGTCCTGTGCATTCTTCCAGTAAGGTCAGAACTAAAGAGTGTCGAAGCAGACGTGGAGCAATATGTCCTGAGATGGTCACGCTGATCAGAGTGTTTTATAGCAAACACAATGCAATAAAAAACTAAGCCCTTCTGTCAAGCCTCAGCAGCTGAAAATAGGAGTTCATAAATTGGAAAATCACCCGAGACGCTCAGAGAGGTCGGCCCTGATATACTGCGTAAACATATAGAAAACTAACCTCCCTTTCTCGCTCTCCTTTCTGCGTCAGTGACTCAAAATCGCTGTTCTGCTGTAATTTGTGCTCTTTGTTATCAAAAAAAAAATCAGTCACATCTCAGCGGGGGTCCAAACACACACACACACACACACACACACACACACACACACACACACACACACACACACACACACACACACACAGATCTCAGAGAGCCTCAATCTGTCTCACAGGGAGAGGGTGCTTTGAGGAGAGCTATTTACACTCACACACACTATTTGACATTCAAAAACACACTGTAAAAACAATAGTCAATGCACACATGGAGTGGAATAGATCAGTTTACAGGTAAATTACTCTGAAACATGTCACTGTAATCTCAGCTAAGTGATGCAGAGTGGCAGCTAGTGTCACAAATCAATAGCTATATTGAGTTAAACTGTACAGTCCTGGAACCTGAAAGGCACCTGAGTACGCAGGCTGGCTTAGCATGGGGTATCCTGTTGGGCGTGGGTAAAAAGATGGAAAAACTAACTGGACTACATTATTTCTAATTGCCTACACTAGGCAACGGCATGGGTTGCAACAAGATGCAGATGAAAAAAATATCTGAAAATATCAAGAAAACATCAGAAAAGCTGACGGGTTGCAACCTGGCCAACCAGTTTGCCCTTTGAGTTCTCCACAGGAACTGTTTTATTTATTTTTATTTCACCTTTATTCGGCCAGGTTCGTCACATTGAGATTGGAGAGTGCTTTTTTTTTCTCCAAGGGAGACCTGGCCAAGAAGAGCAGCAACACAGAGGTTTAAAATATCAAAGTCACACCATACAAAAAAGTCATCATCATCAGATCAAATTGTGGCATTCAGAAAGATTGGATTTATGACTTCTCTCCTTCTCCAGCATTTATCCTGCTGGAAATACCTTTGAAATTGGTGATGTTTATATCCTGCTGCTTGTGCTCGACCATAGATTGTACTGTATGCACATGACCGGTGTGATCTCAATGCATCACCTCTGTCGCCCCCCGGTGGTGGAATGAACTTCCAAACTCCATTCGATGTGCAGAGTCCATCTGCACCTTTAAGAAAAAGCTAAAGACCCAGCTCTTTCATGAATATCTACTAACTTAATGATGATGGTCTCCATATTATTGATGATGATGATGGTAATGACGATGGTTTTTGTTTGATAACGACGACTTATAAGATGGTTTCTATACTGATTAGAGCTCTCAAGAACTGCCCTCAATGTTGTGCTTTGCCTCTGGTCACTTCCTGTCAGCACCTGTGTGTCCAATCAGACTCAAAGCTGATCGTTTGCTCTTACTGACATTGTTCACTTTTTTCTAGATCCTTGCTTGTGTTGTTCTTACTCTCTGATGTACGTCGCTTTGGATAAAAGCGTCTGCTAAGTGAATTGTAGAATGTATTGAACCTGCTTCATTATGATTT